TCTTCGACATCCTCATCTTCATCTTCAATTAATAATTCTACAAATAATAATAATCATAATAATAATAATAATAACAATAATGTTGGTTTAACAAATAGTATTAATAAAACGAAAAATAATTCGACAATGTCAACTCAAGAGTCACGTAATCTATGTGATTTATTATTAATGTTATATGAGCAAGAACGTACACGTAGTACACAATTACAAAAACAAATTGAACAAGCTAGTCGACAACAACGTTCAAGAAATTCAAGTGGACAATCACATTCAAGTGAATCACAAACTGGTTTAGAAACACCACAAGGATCAAATAATGGAAATACAAATTCATCAAGAATGTTAAGTCCAGCTGCATGGATATCAACAACAGGAAAAGAAAAACCATCTGTTCATATTCAACAAAATCATCATCAAACATTAAAATTTGATTCATCAACATCAATTAATGGTTCACCACCTGAATCACAAGATGTACGAATAATTAGATTTATTTATTATTATCATTTGACATATTTAAATTTTTAGTGTTCACCACCTGATCCAAATAAAAGTGGTTTAAGTCCAACGAAAGTTGTACAATTTTCACAATCAATTGGTTCAGCACAAAATCTCATTCCACGACCAGTACCAATGTTAGCAACTAATGATGGTCTTGTACGTCATACATCATCATCGTCATCGTCGCATACTGCTACACCAACTGGATCGACTAGTTCATCAAATAATGGTTTTATTTATTTGAAATATTTTCTTATAAATTATTTTATTTATTTTTTAGGAGTACTTTACACACCAGGAAATCGTATTTTTCAAAGTCCACTTGGACAGGTATTTTATTATTTAGTGGTTAAAATAACGAATTTATAGAAGCAGTTGTGAGAATAATCTCTGTGAGATTACTATTATAAAGCATAATGTAGCTACTATTGCTAACCATTATGAATTTGATTTATTCTTGGGTCTGAAATTTTTTTGTTAGTTGCGTCCAAGTCCGAAAAGTGTAGATCTGACGGGCTCTAATCACGATCTATGATGGTCTCTGACTACCGTCTGTTACGGTCTGTGGCAACAGTCCAAGTTTTCACTTCTATACTTTAACAATCCATTTAGATTGTGTTTCACAAATGTACAATTCGGTTATACATCTATGTACATATCAGATTGAACTTAAGCGAGAGATGTTAACTGTAAAATAGATGAAAATAGTTCGATGTGTTTTCTCGAATTTTAATTAAGATATACAATGATTTCTGACTTTACTTTTTTCTATAGGCATTTGCAGCATTAAGTCCTGCTTTAAGTCCATTTTTATCACCTTCAACTAGTCGTGCTGGTACACCAAGTGAATTAATGATAATACCTGCTGATTTACTTAATGTACTAAATAGTCGTATTTGGAGTGAAGATGAATTATTACAAGCATTTGTTAATCATTTAGATTCGGGTGGTGCGTAATCATGTTTTTTCTTTGTTACTATTTTGTCTACTACACATAATTGAGTATCGTTGATGTATCGCTAAAACATTTCCAAATGTTTCATCGCGACATTAAGCTTTACTCATTAAGTGTTTTATTTATAATTCTAGGCTTTCAACAACAATGTCAACAACAATAATATTGTCATTTTTTTCCGTTTATATTTTGAAAACATTTTAAAAACGAAAAACTTATCCGGTGTGATATATCGCTTAGCATTGATATAGAAAACAAATCTGACAATGTCTCTCATGTATATTGTTTAAACAAGATTTATAGTGACAAATAGTATATCTGTGTGTTTAACATTTTTTTATCCGTCTTCCAAAAAAGAAAAAGAATAAAAGACAACAGGCTGTGTTTTATATATATATATATGTATATATTCTCATTTTCTACTGGATGCTCGAAATATTGGTTCCAATGAACTGTGTTTCGACATCTCTAATGAGAGAATTTAATTTCTTTTACATTTTAATTTTATATTTTTTGTTTGGATCATAAGTAGGTTCAGGTCGTCGATCTCGAGTTAATAATGAAGAACCAAAACAACAGGGCAAGCCGACAAGTATAACAAATAATAATAATAATAATGGTAATGGTAAAACCAAAAGTATTGAAAAATAAGCAGCAGAAAGGTTTCGGATTATTCTTTTTGTAAAATTGGTACATGTCGTCTGTTTGCTGTGTAGTGCTTCTCATATATATTACCCTTTTTTTTGTATATCGAGTAATTTTTTTTGTAGTTAGAGAAAAGGGGAGCATTGATTTTTTGTTTTGTTTTTTTTTCTTTTTTTAATTTCATGGTTTGATCAGAAAAAGAGAGTTTATATAAGTCTCTCTTGTCAGATAAAGTGCAACATAAACGCTTTGAATACGTGAGAGAGAGAGAGAGACATTCTTTCGTTTTGTTTTTCTATATATGTGTGACTCATTTTTCATTCAATCTCACTATGTAGTAGTACTCTTTTTTTTCGATGTTGTTCATTTCGAAAGTAATCGAATTAGACGATGCTTTGCCAATCGTGAGTTCTGTTTTTTTTTGTTGTTGTCTGTCATGTCGATCGTCTGTCGTGTATTGTTTTTTTGGCATAAACTATTTAATCGGTATTAAATATTATTTTACCCAAAATAAAATTGAAGGAAAAAAGATGATTGAGTTTTATATGGTAAGTCGGCTGCTGCAATGAATAATTTCTCTCAACAAAGATAAATTCTTCAAAATAGAATAAATCATTTTTTAAAAATATATACAAAGTGGCTTATAAATAGCTAGACGATGAAAACCTCAATATTTCTAGTCTGCTTCAATTAATTGAACTAATTTTTTTTCTTGAGGATAGAACTCTTCAAAATTTTCATTAACAAGAATATTGTCAATAGATATTGCTTTAAACTAGTACTATTGACCACATGACTGATCGCAAGTATCTCTCTGTGACCTCAGGCGTTCTTAGAGTCACACGTTTGAAATCCTTATCAAATATGCTACCGTAGAAATGGAGGTCCACAAAAAAATAGCCTGATTTCGATCGTTTGAGCTCAAGAGGATTCATGATATATGACAGCTGTTCGTACGATGAGTAGAGATATAAGTCGATAGTTTCACAAGCTGAAGAATTATTTGAACCAGAAGAATTACAAAGTGGTTATTTAACTGAATCCGATACAAATATAAGATGAATTAATAAAACTGAATGATTCCAAGTTAGATTAAATTATTTTTATTTAAAAAAATCACATTAACTTTATTACAAATACATATTCATAAGTTTAAATAAATATTTTGTACACGACCACAATTACAGCATTAATTTTGACCCTGGATTCGTCGTAATCTGACACACCGTTTTACGAGATGTTTGTTTTTCGATGTTGTACATAGTTATTAAGACGTTTAAAGTCGTTTACAACGCCTTTTTCTTTGACCTGTAAACACAACAATCACCACAATTACAGGAATAATGACGATCATCACGATCACCATGATGAGAGCAAACATGGCGAGGACAACGGTCATTATGGTCATCCCATGGTGGATAAGGAATCGAGCGATTATCATAAAAGCCACTATCATTTAAACAAAAACAGATCATGTAACGCTATTAATGTTAAAATACATTAGATTTACTCTCTTCTTCCATGCATAGAACAATCATCATCACGAGATGATGATTATTGAGGCATATCATTATATTTTTCATCTCACCCCTTTGTGCATTAATTTCATATGCATTGAAATTATAAAATGGTGATGATGTTGATCAAACATAATTATATCCATAATTGCCCCTTGATGATAGTGATGGTAAATTGAATGAATTATCCATTTCACCAAAATTATTTGGATTATTTTCGAAATCTTGCCGTGGATTATGTACATAAGGTCATTGAGGTGTTTGCCTATAATTTGAATCTGATGACTGATTTGCATTTTGTTAAAAAGCACATTTGAAGTATTATCATGAATGTCATAAGGCGTCATTGATTGTTCTAGCATAAGTGGTGGAAGTTGATTTTGTCCTATTTAAACAAAGAATTGTGAATAACCAGTATAAAGAGGCATTGGTCGATAAAAACGTGATACACTTGAATTATAACTTTGTTGATCATATGATGATTGTCAGCGGCTCCACTCTCACGATGTATCTTCTTGTTTTCATCATTTACTATTTGTCCTCGGTTTCATATAGATCGACATTTACGTTTCTCTTTCTCTTTTATTTGGATATGATATTATTTTTTTCATTCGATGTTGTATCTTTCGATCGCTTTATATTCTTTTTTGTTGTATTTGCTTTTCTCTTTGGTTTGGTCTGGATGTTCAAGATGATATACATATATATACATATGCGTGTTTCTCTCTATTGCAGCCCCTACTGGAAGTATTGAGCTCAAGGTACTCAAAAGGATACTCTGCTACCAGTATGTCACAGAAACTTTTGGGTACTTCAGTATCTTGGGGTACTTTTTGGATTTTTTGCTATTGACTCCAGAATGCTTCTAGGGGTTTTCAATCCGTTAACATATTGAAAAATTTTCCATACAATGCTATAGAAACTGGATAAGCACCCAATCAAGTACCTGATCAGTACTAGGTACTGGCACAAATTCCAGCAGGGTATCCGATCAAGTCCGTGTGACATACGTGTAGTAGGATACTGTTTCGGGTACTCTGGTGAAGATCACCTCAGTAACGAGTACCTTGAACTCAGTATAGTCTCTACGGGTGTATTCTGATAACATATATCTCAGTCCTCTTTATTCTCTTTTCTTTAATATTTTCGTCTCTGTTATTTCGTTTCTATTGCTTTTCTTGGTCCTTCATTAATCTTTGTATTCTTTTCTATTTTGTCATTGTTTTTATGTGCATTAATAAACATTTGTTTTCTCAAAGAATAAATGAAGAGAAGAAAATACATACATCTTTAACAGTGTTCGTCGTTCTTCGCGAGCGTGAACCCTGACACTTTCTGTTCTAGTTGCTTTGATGTAATGTAGTTGTTGTGTGCATGTGTGTTTATACACTTCTATTAAATAAAATAAAAAAAGTATCAACAAACAAATTTCTAACTCTAACAATGATGTTGGAGGTTCATTATAATTTGGATTATTATAAAAATTACCTCGGCATGGTCCAACAGTATTTTGTGGTACAATAAGAGATGGTAATGTAGTAGGAGGTGGTAGATCAGAATTTGTTGCTGAATATTTCCAAGAATTATTATGATTAAATGAAGACGTATTAGAACCACTAGATGGTGAATTAGATCCGGATTGTTCTTGTATTTTTCTTTTGATGCAGCTCTTTCCATCTGCAAATTTCGGCCATTCATGCCATGTGGTTCTCGGAGAAGAGCGTTATCAACAGTCGTGAAATCAGCAAATTCTATAAACCCACAAGCATGAGATTTTCCTTAAAAAAATTTCGTTTTATTTAAATAATATCGCCGATGTTTCGAAGTATTATCAAAATTCAATGAAATTTGAGCCACCAGTAGAAGAAAGTGAGATACATTCATCACAGTGTTTTCAGCTTGATATGCCTTATCGAAGAGGAGTTACGATGAAAATAAATACCTATCAAATTGATAAAAACATAGGAAAAAATTCGCTTAGTATGATTCTCAAAAGAATCACCCATTTTTTAGGTTTCATAGTATGAAATAAATTGCATCATACATAGTTAAATAGAGTGTCCGATTCTCTATATTTTAATCTTGTTTGAATATTTTCTGGCATTACTTGAAGTGTTTTAGAAATACAAGAAAAATGAAGACCTATCTTTATTTGTTATCGAAACATTGACTCTTTCAAAAATTCTGAATTCCAGTATTACGACAATATCTAAAGTAAAACTTTAATAATAGATAACAACATAAAACATAACAATATAAAATAAACAAATGCAAATGGTTCTCCGTTAATCATTCATTTTTTTCATCACAATATATATTTCAAACAACACTATGTTCATCATGAGCATACGAACGACAAGACCACAATAGTTGTTTGAATGAGGAAGTTCAATACTATAATAGAGGATGGGTGTGGCTGTGACTGTGGGTGCGTATGGGTGTAGATGTGGCTATGAGTGAGCATAGGACCAGAAATCTGCACCCAGATCCAATCCATTCCGTTCATTGATTCATCCAAATCGTTTTTGGTCAAAAAATATTTTTTTATTCGCTTTCTTCCTTAATCCATCTCCATATTTTTTTCCCCAAAAACTCATTCCGATTTTTTTAACTGCTCCAAAAAAAAGATATATATATATATATATATTTATTTATTTCATTCCAGATATATTTGAAACAATTTACTTTTGATAACAATCCATTTGAATCCATAAAGAAGAAGTTCGATCAAATAAATAGTTCAAACTTATCAATTCCTAATTGACGAATCGAATCGATCCATATCAAATAATAACAAATAATTTTCTTCTTTTTCCAAAAGGTTATTCATTGATCATTAGTTCCTTTTATTAGATTAATATCAGATTACATAGTTGATTCCACTTGTTGGTACGAAAACTAAAGAGTTGTTCCTGATCACGATCATGAAAATTACGACGGTCATCATGCGGCGAATAATAAGTCGAGCGATCGCCATAACCGCTATCATCATCTGAAGAAGTACCATAATTGTCACTGTCTCCAATACTTGAAGAAAAAAAGATCAGTAGTGCTATTGATGTTGAAACGCATTAGACTTACCTTCTTCCTAGATGCATAGGACCACCACGGAATGATGATTGTTGAAACATATTATTATATTTTACACCATCATAATTATGTGCAGTAACTTCATATGGGTTGAAATTATAAAATGATGCACTTTCTCTTCATCTACTCTCGTTAAATTGGTAAATAACATACGACAGTTAGACGTTTTGTCTCTTTTAGCTATCAACGGCGAATACATGTACAAAATGATGATCGTTCACTTCGTCCCCTTACAATTCGTCTCTAATAGTGGATATTTATTTTCACGACAGCAATGATGCAACAAAGTTTATTTTATACGTTTTGTTGACACTCAATTGAATGGCAGAATCATGATGATCGATAATTTGACATAGTACTATGAATATTGTATCAATAGCATCCATTGATTTAATGTTTTCTCCATAGCTGATACAAAAAAAATAACGAATAGCTGCTATTAAAAAAATTAAATCAAATCGAGCAAGTAAATTTCCTACGAGAATCATGAATATGTTGTCATGTTTTCTTGTTTTTAGTACTGATGATGAAGATGACGATGATGAAGAAGAAGAAATGGATGAACAAGCCTCTAAAGACCTACAACATTTCATTGTCTAACCAGATGATGTAAAATACAAAAGTTTTCAAAAGAACTCCATTGCTTCTTTCTAATCGAGGAAGAAGATACAAATGACAATCAACTCTCAATGAGTCAGAAAATGTAGATGAAGAAATTGATAGTGATGATTTACAGTAAAGAAATCAATTTTTTTTTCTTTAATATTATTCTTTTGATATTTATCAATAAAGATTAATCGCTGATAATAAAAATAAACCAAGAAAAATAAATTTTATAACAAATTTACTTTTAATAATAATTATTTTTTCTCATAGTCAAAATGATTTTTAATCGAGGGTGAAGATAGGAATGATGATAACAAATACACTGCATCTCAACATCAACAAGCATCATCCAGTCATACGCGACGAGATGATCATGATGTATGATAACAACAAAAATAATCAACAGAAAAATGTAAGATTTTACTTTTAGAATCAAAATCGGGTACATCATGATGGAGATGACAAAGTAAAATGATGTGATCGTTTTTCTTTTGATTCGACATTGAAAGTTTTTTCGATGATTTTATTTAATGGCTGGTGATGGTAAACCATTACCAAAAACATCTCATTGTTGAAGTCAAAATGCACTGAAAGAAATTAAAATTTTTTCGCTTTTAAATAAAATGATTTTTTAAATAGAAATATTTCTGAAGCACCAGCTATATTTGATGATGATTTTACGTTTAATCATAATGATCTTACTGAATTAAATGATGGAATGAACGAAGATTTAGAAGACGAAGAAGAAGATGGAAAGAATTCAACGAAAAAGCAATCAATTTATACTATTTTAAATTTTTTAAGGAAACAAATTAGCACAAAAAACGATGAAAACGTAAAGCTCAACGTTAAAAACAAAAAAGATTGAAGATATATTAGTCGATGCTGCGTTTGCTCAAAATAATATACGGAAGATATGAACTAGAACTTGTTTTCTTTAGATAAAATTGTTAGATCCGTAGAGGTTCATGATATTCTATCAGAATTAGTTCTGATAAAAAAATCGAACAAGGAAAAAACTACTCAGATCGGACGATTCGGTCAGTATATGGCCGTTGACGGTTACTTTACGACACATAAACATACCGTACATGACCCTAATCGTGGGTTCAATATTACAATCCTATCATAATGAGATTACGGCACGTATAATGTGAAATTACTACCATACTATACATCTACGTCATTGAATTACGCAGTCAAACGCAGCATCCCGTGTAGAGACAAAGTATCCAAAAGCTGATTATTAGGTATTAAAGTTAGTTTAAAACAGTTTATTAAGTATTAATAGGTACACTTTTTTAAGATATTGTTTTTGTAAAACACTACTTTTCTATTGATTGCTTTGGATGGTGCCGTCGCGACTTGTGACTAGAACTCGATGGGCTTCAATAATGGCAAACAGGTTGTTATTTGAGGGCACAAAAGAGTACAACAAAACCTAGTATATGAGATGCATGTCGAAGAAGAGATTTATTGAATAGTGACTAATGACTAGATTTTTCCTTGAATTTTGTTCTACGCAAATGAGCGCTCACGGATAGGTTCTGTAGGTCTGAAAAATAGTTTGATCGTCATAAAGTATTGTACTTCTGTCTTATTTCAAATACATCTAAAAAAGTCTTGTTTCTACTTTTCATTAATCAAATCAATGATCTTGATTGCATCGTGACTTTAACAAAGACTAAAAGAAAAGATAGTGAAACTTCGATCTAGATCTCAAGAAATCATAGAAGCTTTTCTATCGCTTCATTTTCTTAAATTATTTTTCCATTAACAGTGTTCATACCATGAAATAGATTGAGTTGATTAGGTGCAATTTTTTTTTATTCAAATGCAAATAGAGCTCACATTGATTCGGTTAGTTTCGAAATTCGGAAATGTCATGAGAGACCTAAAAATTTTACTATCATCAAAACATGTTCATTTAACAAGAATAATCGTTTATTAATTGAGCATTTATACTAATAAATTAATTTTCTCGTCAAAGAATGATAGTCATGTCAGCCGTAAAAGTTATAATAATCGAATATATGTTTGTTTTGCTCTTATGTGTATGACTCATACAGGATATCAATAGCTCTCGAAATGGCATAGATGCAGTATAAATAAGAGTGTCAAAAGAACTTAATACGAAGAACCTGTCATCGCATTACTCAAAACATCAACTCTTCATCGGCCATAGTGGCTTCAGGAGAGTCATTGATGATACAAACGTTGAAATAGAATATTAGTGTCGCAAATCTGATGTACTTTGAAGATATCTCATATTGTAGAGAACGATTTGCTCTACCATTTCCGTCTTTTATTATCTATTTTCTACCAACGTAGCTTTTGTGAAATTTTCGGATGGTATTGATATCAGTAATAGACATTGTCATCGTGATATGTTGCACACTACATATACATTATATATCCTGTTTGTTGATAGAATAATATTTCATTTACAAATAATTTTTTATCAATTGATAGTTTATGGAGTACACATTACAAGACATGTTTGCTTTTATTCTTCTACAATCGTTCTACAAATCATCACTGTAGTGGGCAATAAAGATAAAGAGTTAAGCTAGTGCAAACATATTTTTTTCTAGTACTCAAATAAATGCTATGTTAACAGGAAAACTGATTTTTGAATTTCGACTTGAAACTTTGCATAGAGATGGTACTTAACGAGTGTACAGTTATGAGTAGCTATTGCAACCCCTTGTAGTACTGGTGTGCCACTTATGGTGGCGTAGAAAAGCATACTTTTTTCATAGTCATACCTGAGGATCGAAGCAATCAAAGGATTTGGAACATTTACAATAACACTATTCTCAATAAGACGTGTGTCTTTTCAAAGTTTCCAGCCGAAATTTGAAACTCAGTTTTCGCTGTCTTTCTGAGAGGTAAGATGTTCATAGCTTTTCAAAACCTACATGATATACATAGCCCCGACTCAGAAGCACTTCGACACTTGGAACCGTTTTCTTGTGAGTTTTGTAGAGTAATACTTGCTTTACGAAGCGTTCTATCTACTCAAGTTATGTTTTTTTAAAACCGCATTTTTTTACCAATACTGATTTTATAATAATATTGAGTAGAAATATATTATGCCAAGACTTTCATGCCTTAGGTTATTGCACGAAAAAAATTTTGATCTTTTTTGTATTTGAATTTCTCAATTTAATACCAGCTGAAAAAGCGAATATGCTGTTTTATCGGTACAAACAATAGTTCCTGAAGTACTCTAAGCGATACACTTGTCAACTTCAACTGAATAATGTTCATCAATACATACTCGCTCAACTTTCGTCCATTAAAAGTAAAAAGGATCTGCATAATTTAGTTTTCTGCTCTATGAGGCATAACATAGAGCATGAAATTGAATGGTATTTGAACTAAAACATATTAATTGAAGTAGAAAATCAATGGATTAATGGAGTCTATTTTGGTTTTTTTTTCATTTAGTTTGAAGACAAGAAAATCTACGACCCTTCATTGTATTTTATTGTTATCAGATAAAGAATATTAATAATACATATAGCATGGTTTCGTTTGCAAAATTTTATTATTTGATACAGATAAGAATATCCCGAGATTATTCGCTGTGGACATAGACACTTTTTTCTTTATCTTAAAATTTCTGTTCAATTGTTTGAACTGCTCGATCTCCTGTCTTATTGATTACATTACAAACTTGCAGTATGCTGCTACATTTTAATCTCTAATCATTTTAATAACTTCACTAATTTGTCTCTTTTGAATTATAGCTTGAGGCTACGTAACAAGTTTTTTTTGTAGAATAGATAATTAAATGTTAGATGAAAAAACAAAATAATTAAAACTTATGATACTTCACTTTTTGTCTTCTTTTGTCAATTAATTTTCAATTAAAAACGTCACAAATAACAAAAAATAATTTTCATCTATATGAAAAAAATACAACTGATTTATACAGTTCCTCTTCGTATAACATCAATTCTTAAAGCAGCTAATTCCATTTGTCGTCTTCTACATTTTTTTCTTAACATACGAATAATTATAAACATTGTTAATAGAATTCCAATCATGTTCATAATTAATTCCATACTAAAATCAGTTATTTCTTCTTTTATTTGTTTTTCTTTATTATTATTTATTCTTGTTATATTTGTTGTAATTGTATCAAATGGAGGATAAAGTGAATATTCAAAATAACCAACACTATATCCATATATATCAAAAACAAAACGTATTATTAAAAGTATAATTAATAATATAATTGATATTGATAATAGACCGACATGTTCAAACCATAATGCATAAAGAATCAAACTAGAATATATTAATATACAAAAAGTACTAGCAATACTTCGAATAGATACATATATTCTAGGATATATTTTTGAAATTGAATATGGATATTGAAATATTACTTGTTTTGTATATTCAAATGCATTACATATTAAATAAACATAAAAACAATTGAGAACAACACGTAGATTATTGATCTTTGGATGGAAACAATTGTCCAACAGCATGTGTCTATGTTTATATGACAGTGCAAAAAACACGTATTTATTAGGATGGCCTTATTGATTGATTTATGAGACTATCATAATTACATTCAAGGATTTATTTATAGATAACTTATATTTATTTAAAGTTGCTTGTTACTTATATGATGGAGAAAAATCATACGGAAAATGGTAAAATAAAAATATTATATTTATTACACATAAATATAACATTTATGAATTATAGCATATAAAATCTAATTGTTGATGTTAAAAATAGAAATGATTTTGTATAAACATTCTCTAATGGATGTTTGTTCAAAGACTAATTTTCATTCAAATATTTGGTAATAAAATTATGGCAAGCTTCCTACAATGTGTCTTTTTTTTCTTTGCTTTCTGTATGATCTGATTATGTTTAAATACATATATGTTGACTGATGTCATCAATTTGTTTGATTGTGTGTTATTTGTAACATTAATGATGATGTGAAGAGAAAAAAAAAAGAACAACACTACTCAAGAAGGAGACTCAACTATATTTACAAGATGTTCGATAGAACACATTAGAAAATTCTCAAGGATTTCTTTTTTGTCATTTTCTTCTTCTTCTTCTTCTTTTGGATTCATCAGAATGATGAACAGAAAAATGTTTAACGAGAAGGCCTCATCTATATTAAATATGAATAATGTAATTCTCAATTGAAATTTCTGATTAAGATGATAATAAAAAACAATGTTTTATAGTCAATCTCATCACAGATATAAGTTTTTGATTATGTAACAGGAAAAAGTTCATTTTATCACACTAGTAATTGAGACTTATATAATTCTCAAACAAAAATTCGTTTAACATGACAACTTGTCCTGTATAAGAAATGAGTCAAATTAATCTCTTTTATATATGATATTTTAAAGAATAAGAATTAATATATTAGTTACATTTTAACTTACACTCCATCACTTATATTTGATACACACATGCTAAGTATGACTATTTAACTTGAACTAGATATGATGCAAAAAATCTATTTATGTTCATATTTTTTCTTTTCTTTTCTTTTAATTCAGTCTATTAGTGATCTTGATCATAAACTATAACTTGTCAAATTAATCTTTCACATTTGTTACTTATCGATTATCATTGATTAAATAGAAAAAGGTCACAATTACGAATGAATTCACTTTTCTTTTTCTTTTCTCGCTCTTCTCGTGTGTATACCACATTCACACTATGCAGGTATTGTATGCTGTGCCACACACCATTCAATCGATTGCGCAAGAGAAGAAATAAAATAAACAATGTACATGTACATCTACAAGCATGTATATGTATACATATATATGTGTATATATATCTCAAACACAGCCTACTTCTTTCATTCGTTATTTAAAACAGAATGAGTACATAATGTGCGTCTTAGGTAGTCCAAGGCTGTTATTAATAGTATAATTTCAAACTAGTCTAACAATATTATCATGATATAGGCGGAAAAGCTTTATTACAGGTTTGCCAAGAACTATCTTTTTTCTATTTCATGTTTGTTTTATGATAGCTAGTAACTGTCAATATCTCAGAAAATGTTAGAAGAAACATTGCTCTTCTCTTTTTTTTTGCTCTTAACATTGCGGACAAAATGAGTTGTTCAATTTTCGAATGATTTCCGACTGAGGAAATCTTAAAGCAAAAAAATGACGACAATGACTATTGAAGAATCAGTAAATGTTTCATGATTGAATCTATTGACATTGACGAACAAGAGAGAAAGAATGAAGACTATTAGCTTTTCTTATTTTCATCGAACATTCTTTCTTTTTGACATTTAGATATTTATTAGTCATAAGAGAAGTTAGTTTTATAGGATAATTATCGTTTATCTCACGTAATAGATCGGTAATCGTCAACTAGAGATTTATTTTTAAGTGCAACTATGTTTTTTTTAATTCATAATAGAAACGAACTAATTATTCTGTGCATAACTTCTACATGAGTTACATTGATCGAGTTAATCTGGATATATACATAAATGCTTTTTTTTGTCATTAAATCTCTTTGTCATTGTCGTCTGCTGATTAATTTTCTATTGGAACATATAGTTTGAGTACATCATTCAATATAGGCGATTAATAAAATTTTTACTGATTATTCAGTTTAAGATTAGATTTGACATCAAACTGAGACGAGATGTTTTATATAAGACGAGATTATAGCATAGAAATCTTCTTATAAGTAATTTTGTTTTGGAATAAGAAATCGTAACAGATGAAAAAATCTGTTAGAAGATATAAGAAAAAAAATCGATTAACAAAAGTAATCATCTAAAACATTCGGAGATATAGAAAAGAATCTTATGTTTTGTTTGTCTTTCTTTATATTTACTTAAGATCGATGCAAAACAAGAAATTATTAATTTTTTCTCATCGATGGTCGAATCCTCGATGTTCGTAAGAATTTTTATTACATTCTTCTTTTTCCATAAAACGTTCTCAAATGAATTACGTATTAATACAACATCAGGTATATTTGAAGGTAAAGAAGTAATTATTGAATATGTTCCAGTACGACAATTTTTTGGCATTCCATATGGTGAAAAACCAGTTCGTTTTGAAATGCCAATATTACGAAAATATAATTCAAAAAATATTACTCGTGCTACTGAACGAACACCGGGTTGTCTTCAGGCATCTGGTGGACTTTCCTATGGTCCATTTGAATTATCAGATATGTATGAAGAAGATTGTTTAACATTAAATATGTTTATTCCTAAAACAAAATCTTTATCATCAAAAGCAATTATGGTTTTTTGTCATGGTGGTTCAAATCAAGTGGGTTCAGCTTCATTATTCGATGGAAGTGCTATTGCTGCTCTAGGCAATGTTATTGTTATAACAATAAATTATCGATTAAATATATTAGGATTTTTAACACCAGGTCCTGATATAATGTCTGGAAATTATGGTTTACATGATCAAATTTTAGCATTAAAATGGGTATCAATTAATGCAAAAAATTTTAATGGTGATCCAAAACGTATTACTTATATTGGACATTCAGCCGGTGCAGCTAATGCTGTATTACTTGCTATGTCTAAACGATCTGATGGTTTAATAGCTCGAGTTATTGCACAAAGTGGTTGTCCATTGAATCAATGGTAAAACAGAATCATATACAACTTATTATTGTATTAAAATATTTTTCTTATTTTAGGGCCATTGATAGGCAACCATCACTTCGTTTTGATAATGTTATAGGACGTCATGGTATGAAAGCAAAGAAAAAATATATGCAATCAAATATTAATCAATTAAAAAATATATCAGCAGAAAATTTTCGTTATATGTATCATTCAGGATTAGAAATTTCACCAGATTATCCGTAAGAAATCTAAAATACATATATACTATGACTTTTTAAAGATTATATCTTTTTTTTTCATTAGATTTCCTATTATTGATAATGATATTTTATCAAATAATCTTGAAGAATTAATTCGTACAGGACCACTTGTAAATGTTGATCTATTAGTTGGTGTTACAGCTGATGAAGCATTATATTTTGCTGAAGAACATATATTTAATCATTATTTACCACGAAAATATCGTACTAGTCCATCATTAACAACTACTCAACGACCATCAACAACAAAAACTAATGAAATTAATATAGTACAAAATCGTACAGAAAAATCAATCGAAAATGAACATCCTCGAGGATTTTCTTATTTTAGAAAAAATAATTATATTAAAAATTATTTAAAGACTAACTATCCGGATCATTTATGTTACTATGAAGAAATTCAAGCACGATATATGCCAAGTAGCAAACATCAACACAATCTTACTGAAACTGCTCGTCTTTATACAAATCTAGTCAGGTAAATTTTTCAAAGAAAAAAACAAATTGTCATCTGCATTAGTTCCTTTCGCATCCTAGTGATTTAATGTTTTATTATGATCTGATTCGTTTTCTTCATGAACGTTTACGTTCAAATACATCAGCATCAACTTATGTCTATTATTATACAAATCCACCTGTATTTGATCTTGATAATGTACTTCGACGTATTCCAAATATGATTGGACATTTTGCTGAACTTGATTTAACATGGGGTATTCCATACTTTAATCGTAAAAATCGTACAAATATAGCTTATAATATGAATATATCATATAAATCAGAAGAAGTTGAATTAAGTTTACATTTAATTCGATATTGGACAAACTTTGCTAAAACAGGTAATGACTTTGTTGTTTTCTTTTTGTCTCAAAAACAAAAAAAAAAAGATTTTTCTTCTATGTTAGGAAATCCAAATGAACCAGAATATGTACCAGCTTATTGGCCACCATATGAAAAAACAAGAAAATCTTATATAAATTTTAATACATATGATATACAAATTGAAGATCAATTTTTAGAAGAACGTTTTCAATTTTGGCATATGATATTACATCGTCCAACATGTGCACCATTTCATTGGTATCATACATGTTTACTTGTCGGTATACTTATACTTGTTCTTACTCTATTAGCAATATATATTTTTTATAATGCTAAACGATCACGTCGAAATATAAAACCAACTGAAACAACAAATGATGATGTTGTGACTACTTATCATTTTTTATCTGCTGTTGTCTCTTAGACTTTTGTGCATGTTTGTGTGTATTTCGTAGTTCAGATTTTTTTTTTGATTTGATTTATTATATTAAATAAGTACTGGAGAATAAAATTTATGTCATCTGGTTACTTTTGCTTTGTATACATAAAGTAAATGATCAACGTTAAATGTTAGCAATGCACATATTAAATTAATGAAATTTTTTTAAGCATATTGTATCAAAACAATACAGTAGAATGAAGAGATAAGCTATATATTGCATTTTGCATGGAAACGACTTTTCATATTCACACTGAAGCTGATCGACATCCGACAGATACTTTCACTGTCATAGTACAATTTTCAAACTTTTACTTGATATGAAAAAATATATTGTACACCTACATCCATAAACAGCAACAAAAAGAACAAGGGAATCACTTAGTATCTGTCTACTTCTAAAATTCAATCAGTTATTACTAAGTATACATTTACTTGTTGCTGACGACACTGGAATAGAATGTAGTATTAGTGTTAAACATTATAATTGTGAATATTTACACGAAAACTTTTACCATCACGATAATACATGTTCACTTTTTCGATAGTTTATTTATGCTTTTATATAAATTAGTAGGTTGAAAAAGTAAAAATTATTTTGAAACGTTGAGATCTCATATATTGCCAGCTATAGAACACGGTTTAGGACACTGATTGTATATAACTAAGTGTAGATCATTTATTTAGTTGCTTATCACTTTCATAATGATGGATGACTTGTGCGTATTGTTGTATCATTTGTTCAGATGAAATACTGATTTTCTTTAGGTTGTCGAAGAACAATAAATTATTGCTGAAGTAAGACTTGTATTATTAGTTTAGATAGTATTTAGGTGGAAACTATCCAAAAAGATCTATCCTTTTTTTTTTGTTTAATGAGTCTCTCTGATTCAATGATTTTATTAATTTTTTGTAGAGGTTGAAACAAGTGCGAAAGACTGCATAATTAATCAAAAGTATACAAATCAAAAATCTTTTGACGCCTTAGAAAAAATTAACTAAATCCAGCTATAAAAGAATTACTACGAAGAATAAGTGCTTCTTTAAAATTTCATCATTTTATATGAGAAACTTTATTTTAAAGCCGAATTATTATTTTGAATATAAATCCGAAATGTCATAAATACTGAATGAAAGAATATGCCGATGAGTTAAGCATTTTATATAATATCAAAAGAATTTTGCCATTATAAAATTTGAAGATGGTCTACTACATGGAAGTTTGCGGAATGTGAAGTCCTTATAGATACTGTTTTCTATCATATAATTCCTAGTTTAAAGTGCTGTTGTAATCTTATAGAACAATTGAGACATCAATCAAATATTTTCAAGTATCGAATGTATTGCCTTCAATTTTCTTATTGTTTCATTTGCTTTTCGAAAGAAAATTTAATACTAAAATCGCCTTTGCATCCAACAAACCTTTGACAATAAGCACTAAAAGAAAAAGATTGATCTATTATTCACATTTGAAGTTAGTAATATATAGCATGTGCCTAAATCTTATCAGGACATTCGATGAATCACCGAATAGAAAACAAAGAATGTTTGTCAAAAACATTTGCAAAGCTTATTTAAATGTAGTTGATATTAATCATACGGTTTTTTGTTAACATTTATCATTGGATTTCACATTTTTTTTTGTAATAATAAAGAGTTTAACAAAATTTCAAGTTAAGGATCCACCCCTCAAAAAAAAGAAAATGTTTTTTTCTTTCAAGTATCTAATCTTAATAAAACTTTCAGTGGAGGTGTATCTCGAGCTAGGCACCTCAAAGTATACATTTTAGCTTGATAGATTAAATCTACGAAGAGTTAACTTAGGATTATGGGTTAAAATATAGGTACTCGTACGTCACAAATTACTCTATCATTTCAAATGCTATAGACAGCTCGAGTTGGTTTAGAACATAACCAAGACATGATACTACAATATGATATGGTTCGATTTTCTCCTAGTTGACATTTCTAAAAAGCTTCTCTGATTACGTGTGGAAAAAAATCAGAGATGTAGATGCAGAAAGATTAGTTTCCAATAAACATTAAAGAAAAAATAAAAAACCTCGGCTCTATTAAATATACAGCTAAATTTTGCCTTCATTTTGATAGCGAGCCCAGCATTGTACTGTTTAAAATGGCGAAACATTAAAATAAAAAAATCCTATTGTGAGAAAAATTCAATATAAGTTTCAAGACCTTTTCTTCCTTAACCAAGTATAAAAGGAATCTTCGATTAATTTTTCATAAATTGTCGATTTGAATAAATCAAATGAATGCATACAAAGATGTGCAAAAGAATCGTTTTTTTTTGTTTTTAAATAAACATATTATACCGGCTGAAATATAAAAAACAAAAGCATCTGTTTATAAAAAAAAAGAAAAACATTATAAATTCATTTAAATTGATATAGAGCGCAGTATTTTCAAATTATATAAAATGTTTGCAAACATGTGGTACTCATTATGATTGAAAATATTATAAAAAAGAAAATTTATAAAAAACAAAGAAAAGTCAATACTGATTCATCATCTATTCTACATTAGTTGAATATTAATGAGAAATTTTTGACTGTTTTACTTTGCCAACGTAGATTTAACTATTGAATCAATGTGTAGTAATGTAATTCCATCCTATAGTTTCTTTTCTTTTTTAAATATTTCATTCACTTGTCATAATTAGCAATCCATGATAGCCATGTCTATCAGTGCCAAAAGTCACCAAAAAAAAAAGTTACGGTCCTCTGTGCGAGGACTCAGAAAAAAACTCCTGTAATATCCTTAAATCTCATGACGAAAATCAATCAACTATAATGCATTGAGAAGTAGATACTTTGTTCTATCTAATGAGTCTTAATTCACAAAATCGATAAACTTGACTTTTCTAAGAGAGAGCTTAAAAAATGTGTTATTGACAAAAATCGAAATCGTACTGAACTAACTGATGTGAATGCGCCGAATTTTGAACTTATCTCGAATTTTATCTATATTTGAATTTCTTTATTTTGTATTTGTTGTACTATAGTTAAACTTATGTTTTTATTTCAAAAAAGAAAAACTTTAGTTATTTTGTGTACATAAAAAGAAAAAGATCAATAGACAATGTAATAAAACGGAAAGCCCTCTGATTATCGTCAGAGGACAAAACTATGTTGAATAGAGAATACAAATATATGTATTCATGTTCGTCCTTCTCATAAACAATATATAATGATCCTTCGAAATAGACAGACACACACAACATGACGATGACCTTTTTTCTTGCTTCATATTATTGTATATTTCATGCGCACTCTTTTCATCAATCTTATATAATCCAATAAGTCTCAGCTTGATGTTTATTACTACTTTAATCGTCATTTTATAAGAAGACGAATAAAATAAAAACGAATAATGATGATAACAATATTATTCGTTTATCTCATTTTGTTTTTCACAAGTATTAATGGACAAGATTCTCTATGTGAACCAAATAGTTCATGGTCATGGACTCCATGGTTTAATTTTCATACACCAAATTCTAAAGGTGAATATGAATTACACGCTGCTATACGTAGTCAACATCCAACTCTTGTTTGTGCTGAACCACGTGCTGTATCAGCAGTTAATCAAGCTGGCATTGATATGAATGAAACATTGGATATGATTATATTACGTTCATATGATCTTTTTTGTCTTAATAGTTATGATCCAAAATATCAACAAAAAATATGTGATGATTATAGTGTACGTTATTGTTGTCCTGTAGCTACAAATTCATCAATAAATAAAGATGAAATAAGAGAATTATTTATCAGCAGTAATACAAATTCATTAGTTGATAATCAACAAAAAGCTGCACCATTGAAATGTGGTCGAGCACCACGTGCTATTACAACAGGTCAATCTAATAGTGCTACAAATTTTTTGACATCTTTATTAAGTGCTGTACTTCCAAAAATTATTAATGGAATTGAAGCACGTCCTAATAGTTGGCCTTGGCTTGTATCTATTGGTATTCAATATCGTGGTCCAACAGGTATTTGGCAAAATCGAACTCATGTATGTGGTGGTACATTAATAGAACCATCACATGTTCTAACAGCTGCTCATTGTGTTGAACAAAAAATTGATGATCGTTTTGTTCCATTAACATCAACAAATCCTTCATTAGAATCATTTTTTATTTTACGTATTGGTATTCATGATATTCGTTTTACACAATCGAAAGAAATTTATCGTGCAAAACGAGTATATGTTCATGAAAATTTTATTTCAAGTACATTTGAAAATGATATAGCAATTATTCGACTTGATCGACCAGTACCAGTTACTGAAAATACATCACCGATTTGTTTATCATCAGGTAATGTTACACCAGGTAAAAAAGTAATTGTTGCTGGTTGGGGTACAGTAGCTGAAACAGCACGTATTCATTCCAATGTACTTCGACAAGCTAATATTAATGTTTTACCACCGATTAATTGTCGAGTTTATACGGATATTCATTATGATGGTTCAAAACAATTATGTGCTGCAGCTTTAGATTGGTCAAAAGATACTTGGTGAAGTCTTTTCATTTTGATTTAAATAATAAACAGGTTTTTTTTCTTTTCTTGTTGTTTCTTTTTAGTGCTGGCGATAGTGGTGGTCCGTTGATGTATCAAGAAAATGGTATATGGTCAATAGGTGGTATTACATCTTATGGTTATGGTTGTTCGAAACGTGGTTTTCCAGGTGTTTATACTCGTACGGGGCCTTATTCAACATGGATTAAGACGAAAATGTTGGGCAATTAGTAGAACTTTGAAGAGAGTTTCGTTTTCTTTTTTTTATATATAAAATAAATAACTAAAAGCAAATAAATTGAATGATTTTTATCTTTTTGGAAATTCATGTTATCTTCTTCGAGATGTTGCATGAATATCGGATCTATAATTGATTAATTATAAGAGACAACTTACAATCTAATTGTTGACAAATAGAAAATAAAATTTCATATTATAGTT